TTGCTATCGTGCGTGATTGAATAGCGAAAATTAAATTAGTTTACTTGTTGCGTAATCTGACTGAACTGCATGCATCATGTCATCAAACCATCAGTGAAAAAAAGATCGCCTTTTTTATTTGGCAATATTTCGACACTAACATCGACATTTACTATTTATGTATTCGTCATTAGAGTGAATAGCCCAGAAAGAGAAATTAGTTTTTTGAAAGACCTTAATATGGCTTTTGTAACTTTTTGGACTTTAAACAAAAACCGTCATTATTATAAGCCATTTTATTGATATTTACCTCAAAGATTAATGTATTTCATTTTATTAATAGAAAATTGTCGTAGATTTTTAATATCCGGTATCCGGCTGGATAGTGAGTTACTATCCGGTATCCGGCCGGATAGTAAATTTAGGCCGGATATCCGGTCTACCGGATAGTTACCGGATATCCGTTTCATCTCTAGTATACATACTTCGAAAGTACTCGATACGAATGTAGTTATTACCTAAGTTTTGTGATAAAGTAAATTGCCACCTTATAATTATTTTACAAACATTTTTCTGATCATTAGGTATTTATTAATATTTACCACATCAGCTAAGGCATATTTTAATAAATTGAAATCTTAATCATCGCTCAATTATGATTTAAGCCAACTTTAAAGAACCATCATAAAAATATTAGTACTGAAAATTGGCTTTAAAATTGTATGATATGAAATGAAGTGGTAGGCAGTTAATCTACGATATAGAGCTCCATATCACCTCTCTGACACGACCTGTCTCGAATCTTATATTTAAAAAAAGTCATTGAATATGAATGTAGCCAAAAGCGAGCGCACAATATGCACGAACAGATAGTAAGTCAAATAACGCGAAATCATGCATTCATTCCACTTCGCGTACCATCTCATTTGCGGCCCGGAGTGGAGAACCGCCTATGTATATTTTCGAATTTTATGCCTACCACGTTTCAACTTTGCGCTAGTGTGAGTATAGTTTTTCGCACAGTGGACGCCTGGGTGTCTAGTGTAACGCGACACGTCACCGCGCTCGCAGTCGTCCTTTGATCCCTCGAGATTGTAACAGCGCAGAGGGGTGAAGCGGCTCAGGCCTCGCTGGTCGGTGCGCTAGTGTGGGTGTAGTCGGTGTGTAGAGGGTAGTTCCGCCCCCCGGCGCGTCATCGCACTGACTATTGCGCCTGTGTTAGAGAATGAACATTTAAAATGCCCACCCCCTTGACGATCACGCGCGGCCATTTTCCTTTTTTTGCATGATTTTTGGCAGCAAATCAGGCGAGATCATCTTTCCGAACTATTCTAGTTTAGTTTTTTGATGCATCGATAGAATTTCTCGCGCAAAAAATAGATCAGATTATACTCGTAATTTTCATCCCGCCTATTGCTGATAAAATATGAGCCCAACTTTTCGAGTGGTAATAAAAGCTGCGATCAGTCTATATTGAACTCTATTTATTCAGCAACGCAATAAATATTCCAATTTTATTCAAGCTACAAATAATTTGAGAAAGCATAAATTCACGGTTCAGATTAGTATTTTTCATCTACATAAACAAAACTGCTTAATAGAACGTTAAAAGTTGCCTATTAACTGACATCAATATACTTTATCGGATGGTTGATACAAGTTTCATTTCGGGATGGACTATTTTTTGCAAAATCGCAATGAAATCTTTATGTGAGTGTCACTTCACATCTACATTGATAGGTACTACATATAATATGGAAATGCTCTCTACACAACACGTGAAAAAAAAAGTCTACTATAGGAGTAAGAATTCTAATAGGAATACCTAGGTACTATGTCCCACATAATATTGTTTGTTATTAAAAAGTCTGAATATTAAACACAGTTGTTTAATAATATTATTACAAAATAATTATTAGTCAGTACTAATAATTATTTTGCTATAAGTACCACTCTTTCGAACAAGTTGTTACCTTAGTTCATTAGACGTTGATTGTCATCGATACAATACATTAATTGTACATTATTGTATCGATTTAATTATTCTATCGTGCGTTTGACATGTTTGCCGACGCTTACGTATACGGGTGTAAGCCTTGAGGAAAAATACCTCATGAAACAATAACTGAATAAATTCTGCTAGGAATGTCTAGCTAACAGAATTAAGTATTAAAAGTTGTGGTGTGAAAGTAGTACCTATTCTTAATTCCGAAAATCCGAACTCCGATTCACTCTACCCCAAAAGATCTTTGGATGGTGACCTAGTAAACCCGAGGTATTTTTTGCATTAAACTTATTATTAATGCAAAAAATACCTCGGGTTTACTAGGTCTAACTATTTCCATAACTAGGTATTCCTAGTTATGGAAATAGTTGTTCAAATAAATATTTTATTTATTATTTATTTTAAACAAGTGTTATAGCTAAGCGGGAACCGATCTTATTGGAATAATTACTATGAGTATCACTTTCAGTTACAGCAGTTTAGAGTCTAACAAGCAGACTAGGGTACAAGAGACAATGAGACCATTACAAACTCGAATTGATGCCGAATGTTAGTTTACTTACCTACACTGTTATTACGGGCCCTGAAGGTGCCTTTATAACATTCGTACCGATATATTTTAGTTCTTAGGTACCTACTCATAGTACTAATACTTATTTTAATACTACTACCTAGGTACTTACGCAAGTACACCAGAATCATGAAGACCACTGAACTGCCTCAATTTCATTCAAATTTTTCACTCACAAACTTCACAAAAAAACTTAACAGAGACGTCACTTTACTCTGATAAAGGTCAGAACTGATATAAAATAAGGTGCTCTTAGGCCAACGGTCACAGTCAAAGTGCAAACACAAAGGTGTCTTAGGGCAACGGTCACTTCGATTTCTCACATACATTAATGTTGATTTACATTAATTTGATCTCGCGGACTCCGCGATGCTACGGATGCAGGTGGGGTGCCAACCGGTTGTTCCTCGCTGTATATTCACACAGATTTAGTTAAATAAAATTCTGAATCAAATCAGGAACTTTAATAATAATAGAAGACGTTGAAAATGTTCTAGAAAAATACAGTATCCTGAAGTTTGTAAATTGCGTGAAGAAAAGCCCTCACGATTAGTACGAGTATTTTGGTGGAGGAATGCTAGTGTCATTTATAAACTTATTACTTAGTTAGAATCTGATTAAAATATGTTATTTGTGATAGTTATAGGTGTCTTATGTAATGGTGTAAAAAACTGCACCACAATGATTGCCCCATCAGCTGTTTCAATTAGTTACCTAATAAAGGGATGTGAATACTACAGGTTTTCTTTGTCAGCATAACTAGGCTAAGCGTGACAATAATTAATGTAACTAACCTTTGTGAAGAGTCAATAAACTTTAAAATTGATATTATTATTTACTATTTTAATGCAAACAAAAAAAAGTGGCAAAACATTGAAAGCCGTATCGTGGGGTTAAGCCCTAAATAACAGTTTTCTATAGTGTCTAGTTTCTGAGCAATTAGAGACGTAAAAGATAACTTTGATAATAAATTAAACTATTCAACATAATTATTAATGTAGTTATTATTGTATTAAAAAAATCCTTTTGTCCCCACTCGTAACCATTTAACAATTTTGCACTTTTGCGCACTTTATTAACATAAAATTAAAAAGCAACATATACCATAACATACTACCTACTAATTAAATGTCAAAAACATTATATCAAATAAATACGCAAAAAACACGTTCAACGATATAATATTTATTATCTGGGGGCACGGCAGTGCCCCCACCAAGTCGAGCAAAAAAGCGGCACGGCCGTACCATCCTTTTCTCGAAGCAATTCAGGCCATTTTCGCCTGTAACTTCGTTGTGGATAAAACTAGAAGGCTGAATTTTCATTAGCTATGCAGGCATTGTAAAGAAACGGTATATTTAAAATTTCATTCAATTCGAACCAGTAGTTTAAGAATTATAACGGGTCAAAGTTACTTAATTTTGTCACTCACTGACTGACTCACTGACTCACCGATCATCAAAACTCTAAGGCACTTCTAGCAGACCTAGAAGCTTCAAATTTGGAATATAAGTAGTGTTTGGTGTATGAATCAAGGAAAAACTAAAATATTTGGGGGCACGGTAGTGCAATCGCATGAAAACACGTGTAAATTAAATTATTTAGTGCGATGGCCAAGTCAATAATTTATGTAAAACGTTAAAGATTTCCTGGCCTGGACTTGGTATTACATGGATCTCACAACTTTTTACCGTAGAACAACTGAGTTGCGAGACTTGGTTTTTTTGACAAGTATTGTTTTTGATGGGATTATATTTAGTGATGGAGCAAGATAATTAAGTCGCAGGCGCAGTAACATAGTTTACTAGTTACCCCTCCAGGTGGCGCTGTATTTGGGCTACCATTCATGCATATAAAGATCATGCCAGCGTTTTAATTCAGCAAATTTACGAAAGATGGAGCTTATTGTATTCTACGCAGCTACGTTATAGTATGTTATAATAATATGAAAATCATGAAGTAGCGCCACGACGATACACATTGTTTGGATGCTCTCTAAAAACTTTATCAGAATGTTATTCTTATTATAGTAGGCGCACACCGTTGATTTTGTAATGCCACCTGGGGGGAAGAGTACCTACTCTTAATACTGTAGATAGAAAATTTTACTCAAAGCAAACATTCCTTGATTTTTGAAAAGAAATAGAACAGCATTCAAAGATTTCAAAAAATAATTGCAAAAAATATGTAGGTACTATTGTATTTTAAATCGTATACTTGTATGGAAGTTACTTATTACTACTCGTATCAACGTGAATATAAAATCATTGATTATTAATATTCTGATTATTGTAGAAAGTAAGCGTCTATTGGTAAATAATGATAGCTAAAACAACGAGTATGATATAAAATCATAAATGTAGGTACTAATAAAACGATATCATTAAGCCTTACAAACTATTCAAACTAAAAAAGAAGGGTATAAAGAATAATAACCACAATTTGAGATGCCAGAATTTAATAATAAAGAAACAAAATAAAGATGTATCCAATAAAAAAATAAATGTGAAAAAGTTAAGAAAATTAGCAGGTCAGGCAAGGTTGACGCCTGGTGCCGATCTTGACAACGAATTGTCTGCGGGTGAGTCTGCAAGCGCCAAACAGGCCTGCGCGGCCGTAGCCTGAACCAGCACTAGCACCGGCGGCGGCCGACGACCCTGCTCCTTGCGGTCCGTATGGTCCGTATGATCCGTTTGGTCCTGATGAAGCAGCAGCGGCAGCAGCAGCTGATGATCCTTGTTCTTCGATAATAACTACTTCTGGTCCGGCTGATGATGCGGTGGCAGAGGCGGCAGCTGATGAACCTGGTCCGTTTGGTCCATATGGTCCGTTTGGTCCGTATGGTCCGTTTGGTCCTGATGAAGCAGCAGCGGCAGCAGCAGCTGATGAGCCTGGGCCGTTTGGTCCATATGGTCCGTTTGGTCCGTATGGTCCGTTTGGTCCTTCTGGGCCGTATGGTCCGTATGGTCCGTTTGGTCCATTTGGTCCGTTTGGTCCTGATGAGGCGGCAGCGCCAGCCGATGATCCTGGTCCGTATGGGCCATTTGGTCCGTATGGTCCGTTTGGTCCTGATGAAGCAGCAGCGGCAGCAGCAGCTGATGATCCTTGTTCTTCGATAATAACTACTTCTGGTCCGGCTGATGATGCGGTGGCAGAGGCGGCAGCTGATGAACCTGGGCCGTTTGGTCCGTATGGGCCGTTTGGTCCGTATGGTCCGTATGGTCCGTTTGGTCCGTTTGGTCCTGATGAGGCGGCAGCGCCAGCCGATGATCCTGGTCCGTATGGGCCGTTTGGTCCGTATGGTCCGTTTGGTCCTGATGAAGCAGCAGCGGCAGCAGCAGCTGATGATCCTGGGCCGTATGGTCCGTATGGTCCGTTTGGTCCTGATGAAGCAGCGGCGGCAGCAGATGATCCTGGGCCGTTTGGTCCATTTGGTCCGTTTGGTCCGTTTGGTCCTTCTTCAATCACAACCACTGGTCCGTTCGATCCTGATGAAGCAGCAGCGGCAGCAGCAGCTGATGATCCTGGGCCGTTTGGTCCATATGGTCCGTTTGGTCCGTATGGGCCGTTTGGTCCGTATGGTCCGTTTGGTCCTGATGAAGCAGCAGCGGCAGCAGCAGCTGATGATCCTGGGCCGTATGGTCCGTATGGTCCGTTTGGTCCTGATGAAGCAGCGGCGGCAGCAGATGATCCTGGGCCGTTTGGTCCATTTGGTCCGTTTGGTCCTTCTTCAATCACAACCACTGGTCCGTTTGATCCTGATGAAGCAGCAGCGGCGGCAGCAGCAGCTGATGATCCTGGGCCGTTTGGTCCATATGGTCCGTTTGGTCCGTATGGGCCGTTTGGTCCGTATGGTCCGTTTGGTCCTGATGAAGCAGCAGCGGCAGCAGCAGCTGATGATCCTGGGCCGTATGGTCCGTGTGGTCCGTTTGGTCCTGATGAAGCAGCGGCGGCAGCAGATGATCCTGGGCCGTTTGGTCCTTCTGGGCCATATGGTCCGTATGGTCCGTTTGGTCCGTATGGTCCGTTTGGTCCTGATGAAGCAGCAGCGGCAGCAGCAGCTGCTGATCCTGGGCCGTGTGGTCCGTACGGTCCGTTTGGTC